TGGATCCTCACAACAAGCATATAAGGTAAGAAGCATCAGTGCCCCATTTTATACCCGAGCAAACTGAGATGCACACAGATGAAATACCCTGCCCTGGCCACACAGAAGTGAGGTGGCAAAGCTCAAACCCAGCCTCTCCATGGCTACAGCAAAAGCGCCGAACTTCTCTCCAGGTGGCTCCACCATGCCCTCTCCACTCATGGGAGCTTTGGCTCATCCCTGCATGGTCCTGGGGGGCTCCCTTCTCCTAAGGTCCAGGTTTCCATCGGTGAAATGGAATCCTGATGGCTCCCTCATAGCACGCAAGATGACAAGGACCTGATAAGAACTTGTGAAATCTGTCTTCTCCTCTCTTTTCTTGTCCACCCCCAAATCCACATCTCACTCAAGTCATACATGTCCTGGAAGCCCAGGTTAGTCATATCCATCCCCCAGACACAGTGAAAGGAAAACAATGAATGGCAAATCTAAAGCCAGAGGGGCCAAGTCCAGGCTAGATCACGGGGCTGTTGGGTGGCCCCGAGCAAGCCCGTTCCCTGAGCAGGTCCACTGTTCTCGTCTGTAACATAAGCCCGTGGATAAGAACAATCACATGTGTCCCTTTCAGTGTTACCAGGTTAGGGCTCTGAAATTCAAAAGATGATTTTAAGTCACTTGCTTCCTAATTCAATAGACCAGAGGTATCAATGCGTTCATTCCCTCCTCCTCAAGAAAAGACAGCAGAAAACCTTTCATTGAGCAGCTAGGATGTGCCTGACATATGAAAAATACTCAATTAATATTAGTTTCATGAACAAAGGATTCATTTGTTTCACTGATTTGTGCATTCCCTCACTAATGAGTGAATGAATGAATTAGTGAAAGAATGAATGAATGAATAAGAGTGAGGAAATGAATGGATGAGTGAATGAATGAATGAGGGAATGAATGCAAGTTCTATGCCCAGAGTTTGGTGCTCTCAGATCCAAGCATGGAGCTCTCATAATCAAGGTGCACTGCCTCTGGCTCGGAAATCAACTAGCCTCTCACCCTCGAGGTACATCTATAAACATCTCTGCACCTTTGTTTTCCTCTTTGTAAAAGGGACCCATTGAAGCCTACATGAACCAGGTCCTTGTGTGGCTTCAACAAGGTGCCTGGCCTGCAAATAAGTGAGCCTGGCTGCACTCAAGAACCAAGAACCACCCTTATTATTTATTTTATCATAAATAGCTATAATTTAAGGCTGAAAGTAGTGAGCACTATTCGAGGGGGTTAGAAAAAGTGTTGTGGAGGTTGATTGGAAACGGAAACCATCCCTTCTTCCAGTCGGGGGATGCTATCTGAGCGGAGAGCTGACTTCAAATGGGATTCATAGTAAGGTGTGGATGTAGGAGAGGGAAGGTTCTAGGGTGGAGAACAGCAGGAAGGACAACAGAGGGAGGAATCGTGGATTGCCTAGCAGAGGGGCGGGTTCATCTACCATTCGATGGAGCATTTGGCAAAGGTGAGCTGAGGACCTACTAGCACAGCTTCCCCACACTGAACAGGCAAGACTTGCTGCTGGCCTCACAAATCTCACGGTCTAGGGGGTGCATAGACAGCTCTGACCACCACAAGTGTGCCCCATATTGCAGCACGGAGTGGCCTGGGAGAGGGAGACATTTGCACTGTAGTGGGAGGTTGATAGCCCAGTCACAGGGAGCCGTGACTCCCAAGTTAGGGAGGTAGAAAGACCTTCCCTTGTTAGCAAAGGGAGCCATGGAGGAGTTTGGACCAGGAAAGTAGTACAAGTGAAAAACAGCTTCGGAAAGATGAAAGTCACAGTGATTCAGACAAAACATTTGACACAAAAGAATCCTGAAGAGACAAAGAAGAAGACAGCTCGAACAGGATTCCGGGTAGAGAGGAAAGGATGACAGAAGGCATGGGCAGGGAAAGGAAGGACAGAAAGATGGTGGTGAATGTAAAATAAGACAGCTGTGGGGTGGTGGGAAGGAGGCCAATGAAGTGAGGGAATGAGGCGGGGCTCAGGCACACCGGACCCACAAGAAGCAGGCTGGGAGGGCAAGTGCGGGGCTCAGGTTGGGACACATTGCATTTTGAGCTAGGGGTGGGAAACTCAGGTGTCACGTCCCACCAGCAGTGAAATGTGGGAGAATCGCCCCAGGTAGAGATCCGGGCTGCAGAAGCAGAGTGGGGTACCACCTGTACCCGGAGCAGGGAGTGGGTATCTTCAGTGTCCCTGGGGCAGGAGTCAGGACAGCCTGGGGCTGGCAGTGATGGGGCCTCCCGAAGATGCCACCAGCCTACACTCTGATTTGAGCACTCACCAGCCCTTCAACCTCAAAATTAAAATCTACCTTACAATTAAAATGGGGTTTTTGTTTTTATGTATATAAATACTATTTTTGAGACTCTCTGGAGGCCTCATGGTCTAGTTCCAAAGCAAGGGAGCTCCTCAGCTTCCCTGTATCATGAATTCTCAGGCTGGGGGATATTGATGATTTGAACTGGGTCACTCTTTGTGGAGGGCTGCCCTGTGCCTTGTAGCATGTGTAGCAGCATCCCGTGCCTCTCTTCACTTGATGCCAGTAACACCTCCTGCCCCTCAATTATGACAACCAGAAACGTCTCCAGACATTACCAAACATCCCCTGGGGGCAACACTGCCCCAGCTGAGAAGCACTGTGCTGCTATTAAGGACACTTTCATGTCTTTCCCTACTTGCTCACCTGACACACTCATGAGATTTCTAAGGCATCTGATTAAACAAGAAATAAATATTTCTAAGAAATAGTAATAATAATAATGGCTAGGGCTTTGTGGTCAGACCCCAAGACAAAGCTGCTCTGTTGCCCAGGACCGTAAAGCATCAGGCAAGTAGCTGAAATTCTCCTCCACCCCAAGGGTGTTCATCTGCAGAATATGGGGGGAGAGAGAACAAATGATCCCTCGGGATAAGGGGGCTCCCACCCACACAGCCGGCCAAGAAGAGACTGGACAAGGCCCCTCCTCAAGCCAGGGTCTGGGCCATGAAGCCGCTACCATTTTCTGGCTGGAGTCCCCGGACTCGGTGACTCAGCTGGCAAGGATAGTCTTGCTTACGAAAGAGGGTGGGTTCGGGTGAAGCAACAGTTGGAGCCTGCACGAAAGGCAGAGAGCTGATCTGAGCCTTTTGACTCACTAATGGAGAAGCCCTCACTCTCTAGAAATCTCCACATTCACCAGTGACAGTTACGTCATGTGTGTGAAGGGGAGGCAGAGGCTTTGGTGCTTCGCTGTCCAGTTTGCCTAAGGGTAGTCAGCAGGGACGGGACGGGAACTAGTGAGTGTTTATGCTATTCCCAAGGCTCACCCTGAGAGCTCAGCCCTAGCCCCACGAGGTCTCAGGTGGGCGGCAACCCCAGGCCATGGCAGCCCTTCTTGGGAAATGGCTTGGCCAAGGCCATATCGTCCAAGGGCAGGTATTTTTCAGGTGGGTGGGAATGGGCGTGGACAGGAAGAAGCTGGCCAGCGAGACAGTCATAGGGTTACAAAATTGGGAGGCGCCTGAGAAATCCTACATTTGCTACAGGCGAAGCTCAGGCCCACAGAGGGTGGAGGAGCAGGGATCCTGGCGAGGTGAGGAAGATCTCATTACAGCACCCGTTTCTCAGATGAGGAAATAGAGACCAGAGAAACCAAGTTCGTATGCTGAGAGCTCAGCTAGTCAGCGGCACAGCTGAGATTTGACTTTGAAGTTGATCCCATTTCCCTGAACATGTTTCCACCTGGCTTTAAAAACGGGCTTGGCTGGAGCCATCTCCCCGAGCTCTGAGCTCTGGCAGAGCCTGGGGTCAAATCCTTTTGAACTAAGTCCCACCATGTGTGCGACCCAAGTAATCCCACCTGGCATCTGGACCCACTTCCACCGGGCAATACGCATGGGAAAGAGGCCATTCGACAGCACAGCATGGCCAGTGGGTCCAGTCAAGACGTGAGGCACGTTAGAGTCATTAAAAATCATTAGGATGGTTGGGTTCTGAGGTCAGATAAGCAGGATAAACACTCCGGAGAAACTAGTTCTGCCTTTTCCTGCAGCTGCTCCCACTCATCCCAGCCAAGCACTCAGCCAGCCAGACTCCCGAGAACCTGCCGCTGAGCTCCAGGGGCTCATTTAAGATCCAGGGTCCACAGGCAGGTCCCTGCTCTGCTTCAACTCTTGAGTCACACTTTAAAAAGCATGTGGGAGATTTGGTTCATTTGGAGTGGGCTTTTACACATGGACGGGATAAAAAGGCTCACCTAAAGACAGGTCCTTCGGTCATTTTACCTGGAGACAAGGAAGGGACTGAGGTTCAGAGTGGCTGTGTAACTTACCTGAGTGCATACAGCTTGGTGAAGCCAGAATGGTCAAAGGCCAGGACTGTGCGCGTCCACACTTGACCTGCCCACACTGCCCCTGAACACCCTTCAGTCCCCAGACAAGCTTCCTCTCTTGAATTTGGCAGTCTGCAAACAGAGCTTTGCCCAAGCCTGTATCTCAGGTCTGTTATATACAGATGCAGATGGAGAGATGTACTCTTAAATCACTCTGGATGCCTCTGTCCATCTGTCTGTCACCACCACAGGGGCCTCAGCCACAAGGGCAGGGACCACGTCTTAGCAGGACCAGCTGCTCCCATGGCTCCATGCACCCCACATTTTACACACATTATTTCTAATTCTCGCAAACAACCCTGCAATGGAAATATTCTTATCCTGATTATACAAACGAGAAAACCGAGGGCTACGGAGCTGAAATGACTTGCCCGAGGTCACAGTTAGTAAATTGCAGGGACCTCTTGGACCCGAGTTTCCTCTTTCCCACAGCTCCAAGCCTCCTCTCCACTTTTTCTGTATAATTGGGAGCAGCCCCAGACCTCACACATAGGAGGTGTTGACTACTTGTTTGCAGAATAAATGAATGAGTGGGTAAACGAGCAAAATGAATTTGAAAACTTAAATTGCTTTATTTGGGTTTTCAAAGATGAGTCCATCATGAGGCTATGGGGAAGAAAACAGACTGTTGATTAAGTAGTCTCCCGGATTTCTGAACTCAGTGAAAACAATTTCTAAATAATTTTGTGACTTTTGAGCCATTCTTAAACAAACAACAAAAATATTTTAAAGTTGATTTCTAAGCCAACTTTTCTTTCTTGAGAGATGGGAAACTAATGTTCACTGAGTAGCTGCTGTGAGAACACACACCATCCTGTGTGTATCAACACACTTGATCGGGTTCACAGCAACACTGCAAACGGGCATGAATGCCAGTTATTACCAGAGGAAAAGATCAAGGTTCAGAGTGGCTGTGCAACTTTCCTGAGTACATACAGCTTGGTGAAGCCAGGAAGGTCAAAGGCCAGGACTGTGCGTCCACACTTGACCTGCCCACACTGCCCCAGAACACCTGTCAGCCCCCAAGCGAGCTTTCTCTGTTGAACTGGGCAGTCTACAAAGAGATCTTTCTCCAGCATCACCACTTATCCAGCGGACCTTCCAAATGTGGGCTTGGGACACCAGAAAACACACCTGTAATAAATTAATAAAGAGAAAGACCCCAAAAGTCTATAAAGAAGCTGTTTTGTTTTCAGCATCCATCATGTTTGGTGTCACTTCAATAAAATAAAAGAGTCTCTTATAGTTTTAGTGTTGGCTTCATTTGGAATGGCAGGTGGAGGGTGGGGAGGAGAACCCAGTTTCTTCAGTATGAAGGATCACAATATCCAACCTTGCCTCTCTCCACAAATGGGCCTTCACCCACAGAAAAAAGTTTCCAGCAGAAGAAGGAAGTTCGCATCCGTCAGTTTTTCTGGGGGCTCTGTGGCAAGGCTGCCGGTTCGCCCTGCCATGCTGAAGGGTCTGTCTTGCTCAGGTCTGTGCTCATATGAACAACTGCACCCAAAGCCCCAATCCAAGCAATCCCTACCTCCATCCCACACCCCACTCCTGCTCCAGGACCTGCAAAGGCAGGCAAAAGAGCCTGGACATCCCAGCCCCCAGGGTCTGCCTGCAGCCTGTCAGGGGAGTCCTTGGCGAATAGCCATCCTGACGACTGCTAGAACCTGGCTACTCCCTGAGTGTGCAGTGTTGCTGAGCAAATTCCCAGCTTTGGAACTGGGCAGACAATCCCCTTGTGTTTTCCCACCTTCCCACCTTGGCTGCCAGGAGCTGGCCCAGTCTTGGAGATGCTGAATAGGCCATTTGTTGTGAGATCAAAGGGCCACCTGTGGGAAGCGCCCCGCCGCCTGGAGCAGGCCCAGGCTGCGTCCTGCCCCATTGCCCGCCACCCCGCCTGCCAGGTCCCGGGCCTTTTCAAACAGCCCACCTTGGCCGGGGCATTGCTCCACCCCCACCGCCTACTCGCATTTCTCTTTCTAACAGCACCTAACCACCTTCCTCAGATACCACGTTCTCCAAAGTCTCCCCGTTTCCAAGTTCACTGTTCCCTCTATTTGGTACACTCTTCCTTGCCTTCTGCACCCAGATAAGACCCAAGCACCAGCCCAGGCAGAAATCCTTCCCTAGACTCCATGATTGGTTTAGAGCTCCCAGGATGTGCAGGGAACACCATTTTCACTGCCAGGTGGGCCCCCAGGCCATGCCGGCTGGGCTGTGAGCTTCCTGAGGACACAGGGCTGGCCCCAGAGTACCAGGCACAGTCCTTTCATAGTTGGCATCAAATGCTGGTGGACTGAGAGGGGAGGCAGAGAACACCTCCATTGCTTCTCCTCCAGGGCAGAGCAGGTAGTAATAGATGAATGGGCATTGTCGCAAAACACATCTGGAAACAGCTTTGGATAGAAAATACCACAACTCAGGCCTCCAGAAGCTTCTGCTCTTACTGCTCCCATCAGTGTCATCCTTTTCAAATGCTAATCTGGTCACAGGGCGCACACACCCCACCTAAAGCGGGATAGGGTCCTTCTACCAGTGCTTTTGGGGTAGAGACGGAACCTTTACTCAGGCCCGGATGCCCATCATTTTGGCATCAAGGCATTTGGTGTTTGCTACCTTTCTATTCTTTCCCTCTTTCTCACTCCATCCCTGAGTCCACCCAGGATGTCCCTGGGTCACAGGCCCAGCCACTCATTTAACAGGCCTGATCTCACCAGGTCACAACAGCCAAGGGCCAGGGTGGGAGAGGATGCCAGGGGGTTTCCAGTAAGCACCAGGTGGTGTGGGATCCCTGGTGGGTGGGATAATGCCCTTCCAGCCCACCCCTCCAGCACACCTCCTGCCACTCAACTACCACTCTCACCACTCCAGCCAGAATGGCCACCTCCAGGGCCCCTCCCTCAGGCCCTTTGCACCTGCGCTCTCCCCTCTAGTGATGTCCCTGCCCTACCTGGCCTTCTTACCTTCACATCTCCACCCATGGCCTTCCTGACCAGGGAAGATCTCACTTCTAACAGCATCTCCAGCACTTACTAGTGATGCTTCGATTAATGGCTAGCTCCTTCACTTACTGAAATGGAAGCTCCTTGGAGCGGGACTTTAACTGTCTGATCCATGCTCCTGGGCATGTATACATGTTTAATCCATGCACGTGTGTGAATGGTCATTTCACAGGGCAGACAGTCTCTGTAAAGTGGGCTTTCGGCGACTCTAGGAGGCTTTCATGTACTTGATCATCTCCATATCTGTCTGCCTCTTTCACCTGTGACCTCCCAGGGGCACAGGGTATGATTTGTTCACCTGCTCCCCTAGCCCAGAGCACAAGGCCCATCTCATTGGAGGTGCCCCCAGAGCCTGTATTTGAACGACTAAAGGAACTGTGGCCACTGTGCCAGAATAGTCCGTGAACCCCTTGACATAACATCTTTGTCCACTGCCCAGGACGTCCCAGCAGTGGGGCCAGCCCCAGCCTGGCAGACCTGGCTCTTCCTACCTTATTTCATTTTCCTTTGGCCCTGCCTCAACTCTTCCAGTCCCACCTGACTGTGTTGGAGGTGAACTGTGGCCAGTGGCACCATGGAGCGATGGGACCCACGCTCACGCTCGGCAAAATGTACACCGGCCTGGAGGGGAATCATCTGGCTCCACCCTGTCGCGGCTGGGCTCGCCCCCTGTAAGATGGAGAAGAACAAACTTGGGAATAGGTCATCCCTTCACCTTTCAAATCCATCTCAAAGGCCGCCTGCTCCTGGAAGTCCTTCTGGGTCCTCCAGAGAAACTGCTGCTTTCTCTGGGCTCCCCCATTGCATCACTTACCTGGCCCTTATCACGTTTGACAGGATGGCCCAATCGCCCCGCGTCCATGCTTATTCCTTCAGGCAGGGACTGTGATCTCTTTTTTCTTTATGCCCATTCATGTACTCAACAAAGCTGGCCTTTATTCTGTGCCACGTCCTGGGCTGGACACTAGGGACATGGCTGGTGCCCTCCAGCCACTGACAATCCAGTGGAGGTTGGACAGTCACCTCCTACCACACAGTGAGATGGGCATCCGATGGTGCAGGCCCCAGCCATGGAGGCAGAGATCCACTAACCCAGCCCAGGGGAGCATGCACAGGTCCGGAAATGATTCTCAGAGAGAGGACTAAATGAGTAGGATTTTGAAGGATATATAGGAGTTGGTGGCATCATGAAGGAGAAAGGGGGTACATCAAGTTCAAAAATAGTTGCCAAGCTGGGCGCAGCAGCGCTAGCCTGTAATCCCAGCACTTTGGGAAGCGGAGGCAGGTGGATCAAGAGGTCAGGAGTTCAAGACCAGCCTGGCCAATATGGTGAAACCCCGTCTCTACTAAAAATACAAAAATTAGCTGGGCATGGTGGTGGGCACCTGTAATCCCAGCTACTCGGGGGTCTGAGACAGAGAATTGCTTGAACCCAGGAGGCAGAGGTTGCAGCAAGCCAAGATTGCGCCACTGCACTCCAGCCTGAGCGACTGAGCAAGACTTCATCTCAAGAAAAAAGAAGAAAAGAAGAATAAGGAGAAGGAGAAGGAGGAGAAGGAGAAGAAGGAGAAGGCGAAGAAGAAGAAGGTGAAGAAGGAGAAGGAGAAGAAGAAGGAGGAGGAGGAGAAGAAGGAGAAGGCGAAGAAGAAGAAGGAGAAGAAGGAGAAGGCGAAGAAGAAGAAGGTGAAGAAGGAGAAGGAGAAGAAGAAGGAGGAGGAGGAGAAGAAGGAGAAGGCGAAGAAGAAGAAGGTGAAGAAGGAGAAGGAGAAGAAGAAGGAGGAGGAGGAGAAGAAGAAGAAGAAGAAGAAGAGGAGGAGGAGGAGGAGGAGGAGGAAGAGGAAGAGGAAGAACAAGAGGAGGAGGAGGAAGAAGAGGAAGAGGAGGAAGAGGAAGGAGAAGAAGGAGGAGGAGGAGGAGAAGAAGAAGAGAAGAAAAAGAAGAAGAAGAAGCAGAAGAAGCAGAAGAAGAAGAAGCAGAAGAAGCAGAAGCAGAGAAAAGAAAAGAAAAAGTTGCCAAATAATTCAGTAAGGCTGACTATAAACAACCTGGGGTGACCCTAGCTTATGCGGGGTGCTAAGAAATTTCTTCTTTCTCTTGTTCACATTTCTGGGTCCCAAAGAAGACCCAGGCCAGTGCTCAAGACACAACAGGGTATCCAGACAGCAGATCTTCTCTCTGCTGTTCCAGCCCATTAGATCATAAACTTCTGCTTGCCAAGTTCCATATATGTCCATACACCCATATACAGCAATTCACACAGACACTATATATTTGTCTTCGCCAACAAATGAACAGCATGTGGGATGTGCCAGGTACTTGGGCTAATAGCAGCAATCAGTAGCTTTCCCCTGCCCCGTGCCCAGCACTGTGCTTAGCTACGTGTGCTTCTCATTGCATTCCATTTGATACCCACTACAACACAGTGAGACTGGCGTCACTGTCTCTGTTTTGCAGATGTAGAAACTAGGAGACAGAGACAATTGCCCAAGGGCATGAGTTGGGATATGAAGCCAGGCCCATCTGACTATGTGACACTAAACTTCCACACTAGTTCCCATTTGACAGGTTAGGCAAACTGAGGCCACATGCCTTGCCCTGGAGAAGCACAGTTAATCAATCAGTAAAATCCCCAAGGCAGGAAAACGTGATTTTACTTGGCAGTGTTTCCAGCTGAAGAGAGAAGGATACAAGCCCATTTCATCATTTATAATCCTTTCAAAATGAATCCTCCAGGACCCAGGGGCTGATCAGCACCCCCCACCCTTGCTCAGATTGCTCTGGAGGGCTTGCTGAGCTTGAGCAGGCCCAGCTGGGGTCTGTCTGCCAAGGTCCTGGCCACCCAGGAAGGGTCTGGCACCCACACGCCCACTCCCTGTGCAGCCTGCTCTGCCCCACCCTGCGCTACAGGAGACGGCCTCCCAGTGAGCTGTCAGTAGCCCTAGAGGTGAGAGTAAAGAAACCAAAGTCGGGCTCCCACCCCTCCCCTTCAGTCTCCTCCAGGTCTTGGCTTTGTGAGACCACAGGACTGCGACTCTGCATAGACGCCAGCCTGGGCTCAAACTGTATGAGCCTGGGCAAGCCACTCACCTCCCTGTGCCTCAGTTTCCATGCCAGTGAGAGGAAAATCCACCAGGACTTTCTTTGGGTATGGGAAGGATGAGGGAGGTAACAGTGATGTCAACCAGCCCAGCTGCATCTGATTTTCCTGGAGCCACCTGAAAAATGCAGATTCAGGGCCATTGCAGACCATCCGAGCACGGGGCCCAGGAAGCTATGTTTCTAACAGCCTCTCCAGGTGATTCCAATGGGAAGCCAGGTTAGAGGGTGCACAGAGAAGACCCCGAGCACCAAGACACCCCAGGAACCAGGGAAATGACAGTCCCTTAAACCCATGGCTCCCTCTGCAGGTATTACCTGGCTCAGGGCCAGGGATTCTTTTCATCTCCTCCCCCGTGATGCCTGTTATCCAGTCCTGTCCTTCCTCTGCAAGAGCCTCAGGACTTCTTCCTCCATTCTTCTCTCCACTGGGATCTGGACACTCTTAACTTCTCACCTGAACAACACAGTAACCCCAACAGGTCCCCATCTCCAGCATCTCCCCAGTCCAATCCATCTCACCGCAGTCGTCTTCCCAGAACCAGGCTCTCCTCTCTTCACCCCGTCGGTGGACGCTTGTGTCCTGTGGAATCAAAGACCCTTCACCGTGAGGGACAGGAACCAGCCCTCCCTACCCTCCTATCTGGTCCAGCCTGGGCCTCTGTCCAATCCAGACCCCAGCTCCTGGCCTTATCCACCCTGACTCCAAACCTGAAAACTGCCTCCACCCAGCTCAAGTGTCATCCCTCAACTCCTGGACCCCAGTCTGCTGCTCCACTAGCCCAAATTCCACTGCCACCCCATCCAGGCCATGTCAAAGGCCATACCCTCTACAGAGGTGCTGCCCCTTGGCCTCTTGTGAGCACCTGCTGCGCTGTGCACCTTGCAGAGCCACAGGAGACCCGCTGCTGCTGCTCAGCTGTGTGGGAAGGAGAGTGAGGTGGGTGGGGTATTTCCCCCCCAGCACTCTCTCCCAGGCTCACCACAGGCAGGTGGGTTACATCCCCACATCCCCAGCTCTCTCTGCATCCCCATCCCAGGGAGCTCTTCCTCCCCTCTCGACTGCAGGCCCCGAGTCCAGCACACTGCACTATCTCTTAGGATGACCCTTCTCCCTCCTCGCCCCTTTGCAGATGGCACATCTGCTAAATTCTCTTCAAGTGACCCAATTTGAGGGTGTCCTGTCTCCTGCCAGAGCCTAACCAATACAATTCCTATAGCAAAACAGCCTCATGAAATGGCCACATCAAGTGGACCCTTCCAAATATCTTGCTTCATTCAGGTAGATAATATAATGTCTCCATCTAGCTCCTGGGGCACCTATCTCTCCCCTGGGGAATAATGTTCTAGACATCTGAGAAGTCCTGGGGTGAGCTCAGCTTCTAGAAGCAGGGAGGCAAGGCTGGCTGGGCACTGCTGGGGACGTTGGAGCCCATGCTGCTATGGAGGGCAGGAATGTGTCAATGTTCCCAATCCGGTGAATGCCAACCTGTAGAAAACACCTCTGCAGACTCTTTCAGTGGAAGGAAGTTTGGGAGACAGAGCCCCAAGAGAGACATGGGAGAGTAGGAACGAGGAGGTGAAAATATTCCTCATGGCATCCCCAGACAAACAGAAACACTGGAGTGGACAGACCACCTATGGCGCTGGATCAAACCCACCTACCTGCCCAGTCAGGTCCTCAAAGAAGCAGTAGGAAATGTGAATGTTTGCAAAGCTTCCCAAGGGGATTCTGATCAGCAGCCAGGCTTGGTGAATAAATGACTTAAAATTCTTGAATGCCAATCCTGAGTATCTACCGCCCTATGATCTAATATTAATAAGATTCCATGAAGATTGCAAGTTTCAATTCTACCCTGGTCCTTGGAAGCATCCAGAAGGAATTAGACAGGAGTGTATCATAACCACCCCACACCTCCTCCTTGATATTCCCAATCACTCTGCACTCTGAAGAAGCTTGCTCCAAACTCAGACTTTATAAAGATCAAAAGATCCCTGCACTTGGCTTCCAAAGAGGTGCAGACCTCATTGCGACACCCAGACCCATCTCCAGTGTGAATTCCACTTACATTTCATGAACCAATAAGTACATGTCTGAAGTAATATCAATATTTATTGGGGTTGAACAAGAATCCACACCGATGTGTATCTCTGGGCTTTATCTGCATGTCCCTTATAGAGTTATTAAAACACCAAAATATAATTTTAATAATCAGTGGGATTTTAATTAACACACAGTAATGATTCCCATTCAATGGAACGCCTCAGATTCAGAAAGTAATTACTCACTCACGACACTTAATTTGAAGTGTTGCCACAGATTTGTATCTCCTGAAGCCACAAGAAGTTAGATCATAATGTTTCTTGTTAGAACTCATAGAGCGAGTTCACTTCAGAGGGAGGATGGAGACCAGGTTCCAAGACAGAAGAAAGAAAACGGAAAGAGCTGAAGCCAGTTGGGCAGCCTCCGAGGAAGGAAGAGAAGCATTGTCCCAAGAGGGAGAACTTGGTGGCATGGCCCAGCATGCTCCCCTGCACCATGCCAAGGTCCCCAGTGTTGGGTACTTCCAGGAATGGAGAGCTCATTACCACAAAAGAAAAGTGTCTGGTGTAACCTTAGAAAGTTACTTATGTCTGAGTCTCTATTTTCTCACCCACGCAGTGGAAGGAATGAAACCTGGCCCTTGCTGCCGTGAGTAAAAGCTGATCAAGTACTGGTCCCTCCAGACACGTGAGGTGCTCAGGATCGGCCTGGAAAATATTCTAGGGCCATAATTCCAGAGGACGTTGGCAGGCTCCAGGGTATGGGATAGGTAGAGAAAAGCAAAGGCTGGGCAACCTCCACCCACACAATCATGTTTGGGCACCAGTGAGACTGGCTCAGCATCACTGGGCTGCTTCGCACCACCCTCGTTATCCCTACTTCATAGGCCGATCCCAGGGGGAGGCCACATTGATACTAATAGCAGAGCCCTTTAGAAGTTCAAGCCAGGTGTGCAAAGGAGACCTGTACAGTGATGGCCACTGCTGCAAGCCCTATGGCAGCAGACATGCAAGTCCGCCTGCACACCCAGCAATCGGGAAATGGCCTGTCGATTTAAAGGTGCTACAGCCATCAACAGGAAGATGAGGATTTTAGATGAGGTAGATATCATCCCACCAAATCTTCTCCACCTGCACAAAAATTATCCCCATACTGACAGCTCAGAGTGAAGTTCTAGAAAAGCACTTTGCTTGCTTCAGAGCAGTGTTTCTCAGCCAGGGAGGATTTTGTGCCCCAGGGCACATTTGACCCAATCTAGGTACTCCTGGCATCTAATGGGTAGAGAGCGTGATGCTGCAATGCACAGGACAGCCCCCCACAGCAAAGATTTCTCCCATCCGAAATGCAGGAATGCTGAAGTTGAGAAATCCCATTCTAGATCTGTATGTGACCCCTGATTCATTAATGAAAAAGAACAGATCTGCCAGGCACTGTTCATAAGTGATCTCATTTGATCTTTACCTTATGTGAGGTAGGCATTAGCATTCCCTATTCTACAAATGAGAAAACTGAGGCTCTTCATGGTAAAATAACTTGTCTGTGGTTACACAGAAAGTGGCAGAGCTTGGTTAATTCATCAAATGTCTGCTGCCCATGATCTTTGTAAGACACCATGCTGTGTCCCCAGATTGATGCTGAAGGCATTTCAAAGACTACAGCCCTCTCTCCAAGGTAGAAGCTCTAGCCCAGTGCATCTTAAAGCCATGTAAACTCTTTGAAACTCCTTTGGTTTGTATAAAAGTGTCCTTTCCAAAATTCTTGTTGCAACTTAATCCCCAGTACAACAGTATCAAGAGGTGTGGCCTTTGAGAGGCACCCTTATAAAAGGTCTTGAGGTTGAAAAGAGCTCTATCTTGCCTTTTCACTCCTTCTGCCACGTGAGGATACAGCCTTCCTCCCCTTCGGAGGGTGCAGCCACAGGGTTCCATCTAGGAAGCAGCGTTGACGCCTTCAGCTAATTTTTTTTCTTTTTTGTATTTTTATTAGAGACGGGGTTTTACTGTGTTAGCCAGGATAGTCTTGATCTCCTGGCCTCGTGATCCACCCGCCTCAGCCTCCCAAAGTGCTGGGATTACAGGTGTGAGCCACTGTGCCCGGCCCTTTTATGTATTCTTACAGGATTTTTTTCTGGCCCCAAACACTAAATATCATGACCCTTTAATGTCTTCAACCAAAGAGAGGGGAGAAATTGAGGCAAATGTTTATTATTATTCTTTCTATAGCAATTTCAATGATAACTCTTAGAATTATGGTGCTAAAAAGGCCATTCAGGATGTCCAGTCTGACTCCTACCCACCCATTCTGCAGTAGGAAAGACTGAGATTAAGGGAATATTCACATGATGGACACAAGCAGGAGGGACAGAGAGAGAGAAGAGCAGAACTGATGGAGCAGAAAACTAAATCAACCAGGTAGAGCACTGGCTGAAAAATCCTCCTTTAAACCAAAAGAAAGGATCAATAGACAGCATGAGGAACAAAGTGATATGTGTCAAGAAAACTATCCTAGTGGCACAATATTTGTGCAACTGAAATTCTAGAGGGTCCAGATCAGACAGAAAGCAAGCTCTAATTTAAGGACTAAGTGAAAAAGAGTTGCCCTGAGATCAAGAAAATCTCTCCTTGTGTTGATTTTTCATGTTCTTTTTTAGACAAAATCAAAGAGACTAATGCTAAAGGATGAAGAAAAAAAAATGGACTGGCATCCTAGGTCGGGGAAAAATGATTTGGCTTCAAAATTTTCCTCCATATTCCCAAATGACGGAACACAACAGCGCCTTCTCCATAGACTAGGAGGGAGAGTTAGTGACCCAATAATTTTTCCCTGCCAAGAAATGGATCAAAGATGAAGAAGAAGAAAAAAAGAATGAAAGAAAGGACTCTGGAACTCTGAAAATATATTTCTCACATGCCTTTGAGGAGAAAACATTTGCTCTAAGAGAAATTCTGTAACTTGAACCAGGAAATAAGAATCCTTCCTGCTCTAAATCATCTATTTTTTTAATCATCCCTTATTTCATTTCAAAACAAATTGTCTAGTAATCAGAAATACATAAAAATGCCTCTGTAAGGTGAGAGAGCTCCATCAGAGACATGCCCAATTTTCTTAAAAATTTTCCAAAGTATATTTTTGATATTGGTGTCCAGATGTTGGCTCATGTTTCTGAAGTAAGGATTAATAAAACACATCTTCAAGACCTGCATGTACTCAAGGTTCTCATAATTAAAGACAGATCTCCCTTTCTTTCACGGTGCACCGTTTTTCATGTCAGATAACAACCCACCTTCAGCGCATCGTTGGTTCTGGGGGACTGTGTACCTGAAACTGTGCTAACTTCTTCCTCTATTTATATGCATACATTCTTCATTGCAATTGCAACTTTATAAAGTAAATGTTAGCACCAGCATCATTTTTGAGATGAGAAAACTAAAGCTTGCAGAGGTTAAAGAATTTGCCCAAGGTCACCACTATTGAATGGTAAGGAAAAAATATACACTCAGCTCAGTGTATCCTAAAGTCTATTTTCTCTCCTTCATTATACTGTTACATTCCCCACCAACACATGCAGGGAGGGGCTGCCAGGATGAGATCACTCCTTTATGTTGCTTTTTTTTTTTAATTTTTATTCTTTGAAGAATATTTTACAGATAGTAAAATGTACAGATCAATGAGTTCTGACAAATATGTACATCCTTGCAATCATCAGCCAAATAAAGTTACAGACTATGTCTCTCAAAAAAAAAGAAATTGTCTAGATAACCAAAATATCTACCAAAATAAACAAAAACTGTGAATAATCGTATTGATGCTAAAGATAGGTAATATATATTTAATCTTACTAGTAAACAAAGAAATGTAAATTAAAATAACTGAGGCATCATGTTTGCCTATTAGTTGGTGTCAATTTTTTTTTAATGTAGGCTCACAGCTATTTATCTGATATTCCTGATGCCAAATGTGAGCCCAAACTTACAAATTTTCAGACTTTAGAAAGGAACTGTGGTGCATATGCTGGACATAAGCAGCCCTTTCACCCTAAAATGTCTGCAGCAGCACCCCGAAATCCAACAGCAAGACATTTCTAAAGCAAAATATGAATATCCACACTAAATGAGACAGATGCAGGCTGTTAATGTCTTCATGTCAATTGAGGTCAGGTTTTGACGCTAAATGAGTGATGAAAAAAATTTTGGTTTTCAGAGCCTTTTGAATATCAGAATTACATATGAAGGGCTGGAAGCTTATAAATAACATCTATAATTTAGGAGGTGTCTAGAAAAAGATGTACTCTTACTTTATAAATTGAAGTTTATATTCATAAAACCTTTTCTGGAATTTAATTTGAAATGTCTCAATACCTAAAAAAAAAAAAGTAAATGTTCTTTGTCCCAGAAATTCTGCTGCTAGAAATTGATCCTAAGGAAATTATCATAGCTGTATACAAAATCTTCACTTTAAGGGGCTCAGCATAGAATTGTTCAAGGCAGTGAAAATCTGCAAACCATTCAAATGTCCAAAAACAGGAGATGGTTAAATAAGTCATGACACATCTAAAAGCAAATATGTGGTAGGCATTGAAAATGCATGGTGAAAGAATATTTAATTACGTAGAAAGCTGATTATAGAAAACGTTAAATGAAAAAGATTACAAAGCCAGTTATCCTGTATAATACCATTTTATAAAGGAAAAATAGAAATATATGCATAAGTATATACAGAGAAGAAAGACTGGAAGGATATTGTATTAATCCTTTCTTGTATTGCTATAAAAAAAAAATTCCCGAGACTGGGTAGTTTATAAGAAAATAAGTTTAATTGTCTCACAGCTCCACAGGCTGTACAGGAAGCACAGTGCCAGCATCTGCTTCTGGGGAGGCCTCAGGGAGCTTTTACTCATGGCACAAGGCAAAGCCAGAGCAGAGGCATCTTCATATGGCCGGAGCAGAAAGAACAGACAGAGAGGAGGGAGGCGCTACACACTTTTAAACAACCAGATCTCACAATAACTCACCCACTCACTATCACAAGAACAGCACAGAGGGGATGGTTCTAACCCGTCATGAGGACTCTGCCCCCATGATCCAATCACCTCCTACCAGGCCCCACCTCCAACATTGGAGATTACAATTCAACATGAGATTTGGATAGGGACACAGATCCAAACCATCAATATAATC